TGATATTTAGTAACATGCTTTTTCTTTAATAAAATAAAGATTATAAAACTCAATTGGTTTTCTGAACAGTACACTTGTCATAGGGTCATCTGAGAGTGCTGCCTCGGCCTAGCTTACTTAGAGTCCTGTCAGTGGTGCAAGTTAAGTCTAAGGACTACAAAGCCCACTTGACCTTTTCACAATAATATCTGAGAGTACCAGGGTGTTCTTATGTGGGCAGACCTGCGAGAAGGAGTGTTGTATCATGGCTAGCTGAATTTGGACTCTTCAGCCCATTTTAGCATGTGCAAACTCCTGATTGCTCTCTGTCCAAGCTTACACGTTTGTTTTCGAACCCGTGTTTGTCACACAAACAAACAAACAAACAAAATCAAACTTCACTATCATCCTGTTGTCCTGCAGGTTCACTGAACATATGCCGGCGTGAGACTGAACCAATTTCTACCTGATACGAAACTCTTGAAAGAGTTAAATCATAACATTCTATATACAGTGGTGCCTCGTATAATGAGTGCCCCGTTTAACGACAAATTCGCATAGCGATGGCAAAAATGCCATCGCTTTTGCGATCGTATAACGAAGGTGCCTATGGGGAAAAATCGCTTTGCAATGTTTTCCCCGTAGGCACCATTTTTTATAGGGTTTCTGCCAGCTGCCTTACCTAGATATCCTATCTGCAGATGAAAGTTGAGACCTTCTGCAAGCAAAAACACATACTCTAACAAAGGACTATAGCTATTTACTACACCCACTTGTGTTTATATATATTAAATGTCCAATTTCTGTTAAGTCACCTGGATCAGGATAAACTGGAGTGCTTTCAAAGAGAACGGTGGTGGTTCCATTGCAGAGTGGTCCATATACAACATAGCTGTGACCTGTGATCCAGCCAATATCAGCCACACAACCAAATATGTCATCTTGTTTGACATCAAATACATGCTACAAAATGAACAGCAAGTGCATTAGGGTAGGTATACATTTCTTTATTGCAGATTGCTATGATTATCAGGTCCCTAACCTTCAGAGGTGAATTATGTAATGCACACTCATGTAAAAATAATAAAAAGATTCAGCCACAGGTTTGTTTCCCTTTTCAAGGTTTCCATCATGTGTGAAAAACTTCCAAAAAAATTATAGGGTTTCTGCCAGCTGCCACTTGTGTAAAACACAACGGACCAAATCCTGTTGGTATAATTTTGCCTGTCCAAACTGCGAAATTTGGTGTGGTCCAGAAGGTGCTTAAAAGGTCCTTATCTTCAATGTAATCTATTTGAACTCAAGCAGCTCTCTGTGAAGGCAGAAAAAAGATCTCTTTTGCATCTCAATGAATTCTCCCCAAAAGATTGCATGCCCTGGCCCTGTATCAGAAAGATATGGGCCAGCTCTTAAATGGGAAGGGTAGATCATTTTAAGCAGAAAAAAACAGACAAGATATTTTTCCAGGCAAAACAGGACTATCAGGGAACCATATATCATAACTATATGCCAGTGTGGACAGGCTCTCAGTGTGGTGTAACCCAGATCGGGTGCTGGAAGCATTTAATTTAAGGTAATTAAAAGCTTCCTAGGTTTCAGGACAGGCAGTGGAATCCTTTAATAAAAATAATAATACAAACTGTTGGTAGATTGGCTACCAGCAGTCCCATTCTTCCTGGTGGCATTTGTTTTAACTTTTAAAGGCTGCTATCACCACCACCATCCTGATACTCCCAAAGGCCTTCCCCAGGCAAAAGGGAATCCTAGGAAGTCTCAGAAGCTAAAAGGAGGGGGTGGGAAGCTTTTAATTACTTTAAATCAAAGCTTCTGGTGACTGATCCAGGTTATACTGGCAAAAAGTTAGGCAACAGGGTTTTACCCAGTAATTTCAAGGATTGTGTTTCTCAAATAGTAAGCAGTATGAGAGACAACTGTGGCTGTTCATTATTTCAGAAAGATGGATGCCCAAACAGTAAACACAGATTCCTTTTTAACCTACCTACCTCCAGCAGGTGGGGCTCCTATCACCCAAAGCATTTATGACAACTCCCCAATGCAAGGAGCAGACAATACGACTAAGGAATTACTTTTAAATCAGCTCCTTAGAAAATGTAATAATACAGGATTCTTAACTCCTTCTCTGGGAACTGTCCTCATCCCACAGAAAATATTACCAAGATGAGGGAGTAAATCAATATTTATCTCAAAGGAAGATATAGGACTAAACTGAGGTTTTGATGTGTGTATAATCTTAACTCAAACTGATGGAGTCAGATAATTTTTTCCATACACTATATTTAAAATGCAGCAGTATTTCTTCCCTGCCCTGCTAAAAAGAAGCAAAAAACAAAACAAATAAACAAACAAAAAACTGAAACCCTGGCTAAGACAGATAGTTAGACAGATACATAGATTTGCGTACTCCACAACTACTGTTAATATGGTAAAGCAAAAAAAAAGGGGGGGCCTTCTCTAAAAATGTTTGCCCACATACCTTGTGCGTTAAGGCAGCATAAAGGAGATAGCCAGCCTGCGTGTGAACGATGCCTTTAGGTTTCCCTGTGCTCCCTGAGGTATAAAGCATAAACAGCATGTCTTCCGTGTCCATGGTCTCAGGAGTGCAAACGGAAGCCTCTTTAGCCATGGCCTAAAAGTTAAAACCAAATATAGAGCCATTTCCAGGAGTAGTTTCATATGAGCTAAAGGAATATTCTGGGTTTCTAAGGTACTGTTTTGGTTCCTGCAATTGCTTTCCTGTTTCTGTGCAGAAACAGCTGCAAATAGTATTGTACTGCTTTCTGATACTCAATCTGGACAAGATAAGATTTAGGCATCCTTCAGCCTCGAGGGACTTTGGTAATGTGCTCTGTATGGAGGACTTGGAACAGCGTCTAGTGTGGCTGAGAAGGCCAATTTGAGAGTGACAATCCCTTCCACACTAAAGACAAATACAGTCTATTCCCTGTCCAGCTTCCTGATCCTGCTGGTTTCGGGTTTGCCTCAGCCTGCTGGATGAATGTCTCATCAAAATGGGAAAGGCCATGACGCCCCGCCTGCCGCCAGGCTGAAAGCTCAGACGTCAAGGTTTCCCATCTGTTGAGGTCCATTCCTAAGGACTTCAGATCCCGCTTGCAGATATCCTTGTATCGCAGCGGTGGTCTCCCTCTGGGGCGCTTTCCCTGCACTAATTCTCCATACAGGAGATCCTTTGGAATCCGACCACCAGCCATTCTCATGACATGTCCAAGCCAACGTAGACGTTGCTATTTCAGTAACATATACATGCTAAAAATTCCAGCTCATTCTAAGACTACTCCATTTGGAACTTTGTCCTGCCAGGTGATACGAAAAATGTGTCGAAGACAACGCATATGGAACGTGTTCAGCTTCCTCTCCTGCCATGCACAAAGGGTTCAGGACTCACTGCAGTGCAGGAGTGTACTCAGGACACAGGCTCGACCTGGATCTTGGTGTATGCCATCAACCTTTTATTAAGCCATACTCTCTTTGTGAGTCTAGAGAACATGATAGCTGCATTGCCAATGCCTTTGTCCAGCTCGACATTTAGGGAGAGAGTGTCAGAGATCATTGATCCAAGGTACACAAAGTCATGAAGAACCTCCAATTCTTATGTGGAGATGGTAATAGAGGGAGGTGAGTCCATGCCCTGGCCCATGACTTGTGTTTTCTTCAAGCTTATTGTTAATCCAAAGTCTTGGCAGGCCTTGCTGAAACAATTCATAAGTTGTTGAAGGTCTTCGGATGTCAAAGGGATCTGATTTTGAGCCATCAAAAACTACAGTGCCCTTCATTTCCTCATGAAAGGACCTGATGATGTTAAGGTGTAGAGGTGGACATCCAATCTTGGGAAGTATTTTAAAAAGACTTTCCCTGCTAACCAAATCAAAGGCCTTTGTGACATCTATGAAGGCCACAAAGAGTGGATGTTGCTGTTCCCTACATTTCTCCTACAGCTGTTTGAGGGAGACTACCATGTCAGTGGTGGATCTATTAGCTCAAAATCTACACTGTGATTCTGGATAGACAAGATATATTGTTAGTTTAATGTTAATATTGGACTAAGCGGAAGGATGCTTCCTGAAAGCATTTTGTACTTTTCTGCTTCTGTTCCAGCAGTAAATTGGGAGGATACAAAGCTAGTCTGGGCATGCTATAAAGCAGAAGACAGATCTGGATCCCTTCATAAATTTCCTGGTGATTTCAGACTGTTTAACAATAAGTAGCATAAAAAAAAGAAGACTCACCCCACCCTAGATTATACTGCTGAAATAAATACTGTGTAGACTGTGGGCTGGCATTAACTAAGAGTGGTTTTTGCAAGAAACCACAATCTCTGTTCATTTCTGGTAAACAAAAAATATTCCTGAACTCATAAAATTTTATGTCAAAGTACATCTTGGGTTAGAGCAGTGTTTCCCGCCTTGGGTAACCCAATTATTCTTGGACTGTAACTCTCACAAACCAGCACAACTAGTGGTGAAAGCTTCTGGGAGTTGCAGAATACCTGGGTTACCCAATATTGGGAACCACTGGGTTAGAGGATATCAGCATCCTGAGGATTTGTAGATCCCATATACCAGTGGTTCCCAACTTTGAGTCCCTAGATGTTCTTGGACTACAGCTCCCAGAAATCCTGGCCAGCAGAGCAAGTGGTGTAGACTTCTGGGAGTTTTAGTCCAAGGACATCTGGAGACCCAAGGTTGGGAACCACTGCCATACAACTATAGAAAACTCAGAACATCTACTTTTTGGACTACAGATCCCAGATTCCCGAGCCAACATGATAACTCTCTCAAAATCTGGTCTGCCCACCTCTGCCCTAAATTGGGAATCACATCCTAAGTTTTGGCTCAGCCTCTAAGTTATCATATAACTAAATTCAACACATTTATTTGTTCTATACAGAAGAAATCACTTTGTCCACTGAGATAAGGTATTATCAAACCCTGTAAGAATACCTGATTAAAAGAAGTACAGTGAACATCATGAACATACTTCTTCAAGAAGGATATCATGCCTGCTCATGTGGATTTTGCTGGCAGTTCTCTGACCCACAAAGACACACTTGACACTTGGACAGTTCTTCACAGCTTCATCCACAGTCTTCTTCATTTCAATGATCCGTCCTCCCCTGAGTCCCTCATTATAGGTGATGACTGCTTTGCATTCAGCTATCAAAAGAAACCATTTGTGGGCTGAACAGCTGCACTCTATTGTTTTTTTGATCAATGATATAATCAGCACTTAACATATTACAGATCAGCAACTCCAATGCAGTACTGACAGTGACACAGCTGTGTTTATCAGTTACAGCATAATGCAAATTCATTTTTGAAAAAGATTTCTAAACCAATGGAGGCTCTATAGCCCCCCTCAGGGGGGCCCTGGCACATCTGAAGAGGCCACAGACTGGAAACAATTATTTGCACACCACCTTATAAGGTTAGTTATGCAACTTAATTCAGCCTATACTTCTTTCATATTGTGTTATGGCCATGGCACAAAAAAGACTTAGAATAGTTGTTCTATACTAGAGAAGCCAATACCATAATAAATGTATCTGTCTTTAAGATCCTCCAAGATTTTCCAACACATTTTTATTGTATGAAGGTCAGTGTCTGACATAATCATAGAAATGGATAAATAAATGACAAAGATGACTGGCAGCTGCTTTAAATTTGAAAAAAAATGCCCAAAGAATTTTCTTGAATGTCAACACAGAAACCCCTAAATTAAATAATAAATAAATTCCTAAGCAGCCAGTTACCAGAGCAGGGTCATCCCTTCGCAAATATGGGTGAGTATAAGCCATCCCCTACTTGGTTAACAAGCTGTTTCCAAATAAATTAAATATACATTTATGGCAAGACAGCTCTCCTTTGGAAGTTCAGTTGTGAGAAGACCATAAGCTTGCCAATTTCCAAATAGATTTACTTGTGGATGTACTTGTTCTGGTCTACACTCTTGAGATTAAAATCAGCCCATTTTAATAGTTTACGTGGAGTTGTTCTGACACTGAAAAGTCCATGCAAATATCAATGACTAAGTTAATTTAAAGTAGTTCAGAAACTCTCCCTCAACAACAAGGAAATCTTTGGATGAACATAAAAGTGCAAAGAGCATTTTAAGAAAAAAAACATAAATTATCTTTATCTCAGAAATTAGAACTGTATTGCATTAGGTGCTATGAGGAAGAGCTTTCAGCATGGTTCACTAGATCACAGTCCATTGCACAGCATAGTTCCAACGTGTTAAAAATGGCCAGGCATTCTTTTTCAAACTGTGGAATATCCCACACGTGTAATGGAAGTTAATACTGTATGCATAAAACATTCCTCGGCTTAATGATCAGAAGAGGGAACCATTCTATTCCAGCACTTGCTACTGAAATATTTGTGTTTTTTCCCCTTTTTATATGGTAATGTTTCTGCTGGAATGTCTTTCCTATAAAAGAGGTACCCATTCAACTTGCTCCTTGCACTTATTACTGTTAAAAACAGCAATACTTGAGGAGACCAAGAAAGTTACCAGGTATTTCCAGTTGCAGCCCCATATCTGTGGAATAAATTACCAGTAGAGTTCAACAGGCACTCTCCCAACCAATTCTCAAGAAGTTATTTAAAACTTAATTGTTTAAAGCTGTCTTTTATTAATGTATATCATTTGACATCCAACTGTGATTTAAATTTCTTTACTTATGTCCGGTTATTTGAGCAATGAGAGTTCATTTATTGTTCGTTTATGTTTATTACCAGTATTGATATGTTTATTATCATTATTAATTACTGCTACTCATTATTGTATTATTTATAGCTTATATGCATTGACTGTTAACCACTCAGTCAGTATGTATTTAACTCTTGTAGGGTATATAAGTTAAACAAACAAATAGATTAATTTAAAGAGTTCCTGTGATAACAGTGTCTTTGTTTCTGTAAAGCAGGGGCAGAAAACATCTGGCCCTCCAGACTTCTGAAACTACAACTCCCATAACCTCTTACCATTGGCTATAGTGGCTGGGACTGTTAGTAGTTGAAGTTCAAAGTGCATAGAGGATCAAAGGATCTCTATTCCTACTTTACTAGGAAGGATCGTTTATCACTCTACTCTTTCCCAGCCTCTGAAAATTACTTACAGTCATTGATCCGCCCTGCTAAGGATTCCGCACTGAATCCAGCAAAGACAACTGTGTGGACAGCACCAATTCTAGCACAAGCCAACATGGCAGCCACTGCCAGTGGAGACACTGGCATGTAAATTGCGACTCGGTCCCCCTTTTTAATTCCATTTTTCTTTAACGTGTTTGCAAGGCGGCAGGTCATGTCCAGAAGTTCCCTGAAACCCAGGAGAAAACAATGACAACATTGTCATGCCATTTTTGTGTGTTTCACTGTTTTGAATACAAATACAAATGTTTCTGGTAGAAAAGATTTACATCTACAAAAACAAACTACTGTAAAACAAAGCAACAAAAACTACTCCTTATCTCTAAAAGAAGGGGGGAGTTGACTCTCCTTTATATCAATGGTTCCTATACGAACTATAATCATCATATGGGTGTGTTTGCTTTCACATCTACATTAGATTAAGTGGCTGGTCTTTTGACCATAATAAAGTTTCATCTATCATTAGATTAATCACCTGCCAAATTTTTCTACATTAGTTTATGTGAAAAATTTGTTCTGCAAGGCAATTATTCTGGTGCTTTTCATATGTAATACTACACCCAGGTTAGAAAAGTAAAGACTTAGTAAAGAACTAAAAAAATAAGAAAAGTGGGAATTAATTCTGTTTCCCCCTACAAGGATAATAGTTTCACTTGAAAAACTGAGAATTTTAGAATTGATTAAACAAACAAACAAACAGCCTTTCTCCCAATGAAGGGATTCAAGACAGCTCACAATCATTTAAAACAATATAAACGCAACTAAAAGCACAATGAAAAGAACAGAAAAACATACAACAATACCAAAAATTGCTATTTTAAAACACTTAAAAAACAGAGACCTTATGAAGAAATGAAATGCTCTTAAAAGACATTATTTACTCTAAATGCCAAAAACTATACTGTGTTTCCCCAAAAATAAGACAGGGTCTTACATTAATTTTTGCTCCAAAAATGCATTAGGGCTTATTTTCAGGGGATTTTTTTTTCATGTACAACTATATACATTTATTCAAATACAGTCATGTCATCTTCTTCTGGTTGCTGCACAAGAGTGGAGGGCGGGGTTTCACTTAACTGGGGCTTATTTTTGGGGTAGGGCTTATATTATGAGCATCCTGACAAATCATACAAGGGCTTATTTTCAGGTTAGGTCTTAATTTTGGGGAAACAGGGTACAATACGAAGATCTGCATATATGGCATCCTACCAAGTTAGAGAACAGTAATTTACTGTACATACAGTTTACTGATGCAACTCTGATTATTTAACCTAATTGCTTAACAGAGACGGTTGTAACATCAAAGCTTCCAAAGGCAGACAAACCTGAATTTCTGGACTGCACCACTTTAGACTAGTTTACGCAAGTTGATTTCTACATTGATAGAAAATGAGACATTAGGGAGAAAATTTCCGATCTAATTTTTTCTCTCTCTAATACATATTAGTTATCTATTTACTAAAAGAAAGGCTCTTTGTGAGAGGCACTGCATCACATGAACCTATTTCCGCAAAATGTGCTGCTAAATGTGCAGCAAAAAGGTGCTGCTATAGTGCAGATGCAAAACTATTACTCCATCTGCTGTTAGGAAACAAACAAAAAAAGCCATGCAAGATATAGGTAGGACAGCATACAAATGAAGGCCATTATGACATATTATCATCTGTGCTACACTAGAGGACTTGGAACAGCATCTTGTGTGGCTGAGAAGACCAGTTCGAGAGTGACAATCCCTTCCACACTAAAGACAAATACAATCTGTCCCCTGTCCAACTCCGTGATTTTGCTGGTTTTGGGACTGCCTCTTTGCCTTGGCCTGCTGGACAAGAGGCCCTTCAAATTGGGAGAGGCCATGATGCACCGCCCTGCCTCCAGGGTGAATGTTCAGATGTCAAGGTTTCTCATCTGTCGAGGTCCATTCCTAAGGACTTCAGATCCCCGCTTGAAGATATCCTTGCAATCGCAGCTGTGGTCTCCCTCTGGAGTGATTTCCCTGCACTAATTCTCCACAAAGAGATCTTTTGGAATCTGACCATCAGCCCATTCTCACGACATGCCAGAGCCAACGTAGACGTTGCTGTTTCAGTAATGTATTCATGCTAAAAGTTCCAGCTCGTTCTAGGACTACTCTATTTGGAACTTTTTCCTGCCAAGTAATACCAAAAATGTGTCGGAGACAACGCATATGGAATGTTCAGCTTCCTCTTCTGCCATGCACAAAGGGTCCAGGACTCACTGCAGTACAGGAGTATACTCAGGACACAGGCTCTATAGACCTGGATCTTGGTATATGTCATCAGCTTCATATTAAGCCATATTCTCTTTGTAAGTCTAGAAAACGTGGTAGCTGCTTTGCCAATGTATTTGTCCAGCTCGACATCTAGGGAGAGAATGTCAGAGATCATTGAGCCAAGGTACACTAAGTCATGAAGAACCTCCAATTCTTGTGTGGAGATGGTAATAGAGTAAGGTGAGTCCACACCCTGGCCTTTCTTCAGGCTGACTGGTAATCCAAAGTCTCGGCAGGCCTTGCTAAAGATTCATGAGTTGTTGGAGGTCTTCAACATAATGGGCAACAACAGCTGCATCACTGGCAAAGAGGAAATCCCGCATGCATTTCAGCTGGACTTTGGTCTTGCTCTTAATCTAGAGCGATTAAAGAGATTTCCATCTGATGTAGTCCAGAGATAGACACCTTCTGTTGCGGATCCAAAGGTGTGCTTCAGCATCGGCACAAGGACACATCCATGTTTTACTCTGCATCGGATTTCAAGGGATCTGATGTTGAGTCATCAAAAACTACAGTGCCCTTCATTTTCTCATGATGATGGTAAGGAGTCGAGCTGGACATCCAATCTTGGGAAGTATTTTTAAAAGGCCATCCCTGCTAACCAAATCAAAGGCCTTTGTGAGATCTATGAAGGCCACAAAAAGTGGCTGTCGTTGTTCCCTACATTTATCCTGCAACTGTCTGAGAGAGAATACCATCTCAGTGGTGGATTTATTAGCTCGAAATCCACACTGTGATTCTGGATAGACTCTGTCTGCAAACACCTGAAGTCTCTTCTAATATTACAGATGGGCTTTTCCCTCTGGCACTTCAGCCAGGAATCCAATTTTGTTCCTCCAGGTTTTTCCCACTAATTAAGCTGGCACCTGCAAACCTCTTGACACCGCCCAGCTTCACTCCTCCTGTCCTTTCCCTGTACAAGGCAGAGGTAAAGGAAACAAAGCCAGTGTTCTTGGCAAGGCTTCTTTAGTCTTTTTCAAATATCTTTGAAAACAGTCTGACTTTAGAATGCCTGAAAAGTGACCCAAGAAGATAATCCTCAGTAAGAGGGTTTGGGGAGACATGCTATCAACACACGGTGGAGACTGAGATTCAGTTGCAGTCGGCTGAGTTTTACCCAGTCCTAGGCAGTCAAAGCCTGCCTAGAAACAGAAACTATAAAGTGATAAAATTTTAGATGTATATTTTGACTATGTATTTCTATAAATCACCACATAATGCCACACACTGGCCACATGTACATACAGAAGTGTCCCACTTCTATCCTTTTCTCCTTATCAGTGAATGTAAAAAGGAAGAAAATAGTACTTATTTTCCAATACATGGGTATGGTTAATAAAAAGTTAAGATAACAATCCAAGCATGTCTTATAAACCCGTTGCTTTGCTGCCAAAACAAATTTATCTGCAGATATACACAAATATTACATCCTACTTTTCCTCAACTCCTCAAAACAGTGAATGGATTTCTATATTACCTTGGTTCATTAAATGTTAGTGTTTTTTAATAAGGTTATAAATAATAAAGAACATACCCTTTTCAGGAAACACTGCCTTACTCTAAATTAGAGGGCACAAAACGTTCAGTTTCATGGTTTTCAATTCCCCCTTTCTGTTACACTACCTTCAGACCTTCCATTAGAATCCTAAAGTGGCAAACATTTCTTTCAGCAGATTGGTTCCAAAATGTTTTCCATCTTATTTATTGTTCCTGAACACTGGACTCTTTTATATATTCGCTATCACTCACCAATGAAGGCAAAATATTTTGTACAGAAGTCCTTTCAGTGGGCAGTAAATCTGTCCTATGTGCTTCATGGGACACACTGAAGAAACAGAATGGGCAGAACATACCGTACCTATAGGTGACTTTCTCTTCAGTGCCAGGCTCATCTTTTTCCCAAATCAAAGCCACTTTGTCTGGAGACTGTTTCACATGACGATCCAGGCAGTTAACTGGATGGGAAAATTAAAAAAAAAGAAAGCAGGTGTTTTAGCTTGTGACTGATCCAAAGGAGCAAGGTTTCATATTATCTTGAACCATTAAGGCATTATAAAAATCACCACTTAGTCACTCCAAGAAAGCAATTATACAGCCCATTCAAGACAACAAATACAACATTGTGTGTGTGTGTGTGTGTGTGTCAGTCACCCCAAGAAAGCAATTATACAGCCCAGTCAAGACAACAAATTGTGTGTGTGTGTGTGTGTGTGTGTGTGTGTATTCACCCTCATCCAGTTTATTACTGACACCAGACATCAATCCAGAGGTGAAACACCTTCCTCAGATTTAAGTGACAAGGAGAGTTAGAGTTGGGTGTCATCTGCACGCTGGTGACACCGAACCCCCAAACTCCCGACAACTTGTCCCAACGGTTTCATGTAGATACTAAATAACAGAAAACAGAACCGAAGCCTGAAGAACCTGACAGGCAAGTGGCCAGGGTATTGAACAGGTATCCCCCAATGCCACTTTCTGAGTTCTCCCTTCCAGGAAGGACCGGAGACACTGTAAAACAGTGCATCCGAATCCCATCCTAGAGAGGATGGGCCAGGAAGATGCCATGGTCAATGGTATGAAAAGCTGCTGACGTCCAACAAAACCAACAGGAATACACTCTCCTTGTACAGTTCCCAATTTAAGTTATCCACCAAGGCAATCAAAGCAGTCTCCTTCCCATAATCAGGCCTGAAGCCAGATTGAAATATGATCTAGAGAATTCATCTCATCGAAGAACCTCTGAAGCTGAGAAGCCGCAACTTGGTCCAGCACTTTGCCTAGAATGGGATATTAGAGACTCCTCAGTAATTATTCAGCACTGTGGGATTCAAGGAGGGCTTTTTCAACGATGGTCTTACAATTGCCTCCTTTAAGCATGCTGGGATCCTATCCTGTTGTAGCATATGATCTATGCTTCATTAGATATGAGATGCATGGAAGGCTATAATTTCTACAGGAGTAGCCATTTTGTTTGATTGATTGATTTATTGTTTATCCCACCCATCTGTGGTCAGGCCACTTCTCTGGGCAGCTTACAATCTCTTGCTGCAAAAAAAGCAACAATTGAGCCTTGTGGCACCTCAAGTACAAAGAATGTACTGCACCATAAGCTTTTGTGGCCCATATCCCATTTCATAAATACCTGAAATAGCATACAGAATTCCAGCTGCATGCAATCATGTAGAGGAATGTATAATACTGATCAAGTGACATCCAAAGCTGCCTTAATTGAAAAGGACACCTGTATTCGTCTGCTACAGCAAAAACAATGAGGAACCCTGTGCCACTTTAAAAAATAAGGACTAAATACAACTGCTAGTCTCACTGACTAAAGTTTAGTAGCAAGTTGTTAAAATACACCAATTGAATCAGTGGAGATTTCATGAGCCATGAAACTCCTGTGCCAGTTCATTGATTCAATGAGCCTAATGTAGCTGCAATTTACTACTGGTTTCAGCCACCAAATCAATATGCTTAACAATATGTCAAAGCTTATGTAAGTGATTCAGGGTACAATCAGATGCCAATATAGCTCACATTTTGGAGTGCTTGTGGCAGGTTTGGTTCAAGCTATTTTCTAGCAATTACATAATGTACAGAAAATCCCAAATCAGTCTGATCCTGCTCTGTGCCAAACTTGGACCTTTTTGGTTCCAGCAGCAGACTTACTATTTTTCTGGAGTTGGCTGGAGCAATTAGGACCAGAGCACGTATACATGGAAGGGTCACTTTAAAGAAGATTGCACCCAAGAAGCAACGCCTTCCAGCATGATTCAATGCTATCCTATACCACCACCTGATTACACCCTCAGTTGGATTACTCTAATTGGAACTATCAATTGGATTTAGACCTACTGTAATGAGTTTGACTGATATAAGATTTCATGGATTGTATTCTACCTCTAAAGAATCAGACAAAGTGAATTAGTCAGCAAAGTAAAGGTAAAGGTAAAGGTTCCCGAAGTGAGTTAGTCAGCAAAGTAAAGGTAAAGGTTCCCCTTGACATTTAGTCCAGTCGTGTCCGACTCTAGGGCGCGGAGTTCATCCCCGTTTCCAAACCATAGAGCCAGCGATTGTCCGCAGACAGCACGACTAGACACAGAACGCCGTTACCTTCCCACCATGGTGGTACTATTTATCTACTCACATTTACATGCTTTCGAACTGCTAAGTTGGCAGGAGCTGGGACAAGTGACGGGAGCTCAGTCTGTCGTGTGGATTCAATCTTATGGCTGCTGGTCTTCTGACCGTGCAGCACAGAGGCTTCTGTGGTTTAACCCACAGCACCACCACATCCCAAGTGTCAACAAAACCTTCTTTCAAATAAGCCTTTTTCAGCTTTAAGGTGCCATAAGACTCTATGTTGTTTTTGCAGCTATATTTCATATATATCTTTATATATATCTTTATATATGAAGATATATAT